TATAAATTTATAAAAAATCCCAGTGCAGACGCAGGCAGTTGAACATAGTGTGGAAATCGTGACTGAAGCCTCAGGTAAAGTTTGCGGAGATGAGTAAAGAGATTGTAACCTCAGTTTTGTTTATACATCAGATAGTTCATTACTAAAATATAATACTTAATAAAACTAAGAATGAGTGAAAACTGAGATTAAATTTTTAACATTATTTTTGTGAACTTACATTTTTTTCCATTAAAAAATCTGTTTTTAAATATTACTAATTTTTTTTAATGGTTTATTTTCAGTAAAGAAAAAAAGAAGGTAAGTTGCTAGCATTTTACATTTATTAGCAAAGATTTCTTTTCTTCAAAATTTTATCAACTTCGAGAGTAACTTGTGAATAGAAGAAGGTACGGATTTTAATGACATCTAAACTTAAATTGTACTCATAAGAATTTTACTGAAATTGCATTGTCCTCAAAAGATCTTTTATCGACGTATTTAGAATCTTTACTTAGGAATTTTTTCACCTTTGATTTAAGTTCAAGAATGTACAGAATCTCAGTAATTGTTAGCTGTTTCAAAATCAGTTCCGTAGTCGGTAATTATTTCTGTTTTTTTTCTTCTAAAAGTTATCAGGATATTTCATTCTGAATCTTATTGAAACAAGTAAATATATCCCATAAATGAGAATTCAATGCATACAGTGGATCAACATGCTTGGCGTCGGTAAATATTGAGATAACTTATTCAATGCAATCGTATTTGAAATTCTGATTTTCTTTTCACTTTAAACTTCTCCATATTCTTATTCTCTAATGTAAATATATTTGTATCAATATATTGCTTATACAAATTAGTTTAAATAGCCCTTAAATTCTGCTTATTCATGAATAAGCATACATATTTTTTAACAATATATATATATATATCTATATATATAAAAATCTCTTGTCACAGTTTTAGTGGTTAAACTCCTCCTAAACGGCTGGATCGATTTTGATGAAATTTTATATGTATATTCAGTAGGTATGAGAATAGGTTTATAACTAATTTTTTTTTCATTTTTTGGACAGATTTAACGTATATTTTAAATATATCTTTATTTAATCGTATTCGGATCCAAACTAGACATAGAAACATAATAAATCAAAAATAATATTCACGCACGTTGCAACAAGTCATATTAAACTCTAATACTTATGCATGCCCTTAAAAGAAGAGCATCAAATATATTTGCAAGTATGTGAATAAAGGCAATGATATAGCAGTATTTCGAGTTGAAAATACCAATGTGACTGCTCTTCCAGTGAATAACAACGACGAAATAACGCTGTACCAAATAGGCCGGTACATCAGCTCCAATGAAGCTGTTTGGCGTATCTTTGGTTTCCCAATTAATGAACGGGATCCAACCGTTATTCATTTAGCCGTCCATCTTAAAAACGGTCAGAGCGTATATTTCACGAACGAGACAGCGATTGACCGAGCTATAAATCCACCAAAAACTACACTCGCCAAATTTTTTGAATTGGGTAATCGTACGGATGCTTTTGGCGTCTTTGCACGGACATTACTCTACTCAGAAGTACCACCCTATTTCACATGGGTTCAAAAAAATGGACACCCCACAAGCAAGGCACACCGGTTGATGCATGTCCCGGTTTATTCAAATCAAACGCCTTGGGGAGAATATTTACAGTCAATCCAAGGCAGACTGAGTGCTTTTATTTTCGACTGTTGTTGGTTAATTACACCGGCTCATTGTCATTTCAAGATATATGTAAAGTCGATGGAAATCAGCATCCAACGTATAAAGATGCATGCTTTGCACTCGGCTTGCTGGAAGACGACAACCAGTGGGAATGTATGCTTGCTGAAGCAGCATTGAACTGTACTGCAAAGCAAAATCGTCTACTATTTGCTATAGTATTAGCTACATGTTTCCCGGCCCGTATAGAAACGTTATGAGAATATCACAAAGATTCGATGACTGATGATATACGGTATCAATATCGCACACGTTGCAACGATCTAACGATAGTATTCAGCGATGCTATGTACAATGAAGCACTGATTGTTATTGAGGATCTTTGCATTATTATTGCCAAATTGCCACTCAGTCATTTCGGTATGCTTTCGCCAAATCGAAGTGCATCTGATTTATTAAACACTGACATGAATCGTGAACTTCAATACAATACGATAAAAATGGCAGCGATTGTTACTCGCAATGTTCCACTAATGAATGAGAAACAAAGGAGCATTTATGACCGCATTATGCTCGCAGTTTCAGCAGGACAGTGTGGATTTTTTTCCTGATGCACCAGGTGGAACTGGCAAAACATTAATTACTTCGCTAATTCTCGGTGAAATACGATCAAATAATGGCATCGCGTTGGCCGTTGCATCATCTGGCATTGCGGCAATTTTATTGGACGGAGGCAGAACAGCTCATTCAGTATTTAAGCTGCCACTAAATATTCAAAACAACCCAGATGCAGTGTGCAACATAAAAAATATTTCTTCTATGGCCACAGTGTTAAAACACAGTAAAATTATCATCTGGGATGATTGCACTATGGAACACAAAAATCGCTTGAGGCGTTGAACAGGACATTGAAAGATATAAAAAAATAATGACAAATTATTTGGCGGCACTCTGTTACTCCTTTCAGGTGATTTCAGACAAACACTTCACGTCATTCCGCGTTTAATGTACGCTGATGAGATCAATGCTTTCTTGAGATCATCTCCACTTTGGCGTAATGTTGAAAAAGTTCTACTAAAAGTAAATATGCGCGTCCAAATGCTTCAAGATCCATCTGCTGAAACATTCTCAAAACAATTGTTAGATATCGGTGATGGAAAGGTTACTAAGGATGAGACTGGATGCTTAAATTACCGGACGATTTCTGCACAATCATTGATTCACAAGATGCTCTCATTAGCCTAATATTTCCCGATGTACACACGCAATGCATTCATCATGAGTGGCTGGCAGAAAGGGTGATTTTAGCAGCAAAAAATGTGGACGTCAACGAATTGAATCTGTAGATGCAACAGTTATTGCCAGGTAACTTGGTGACATGCAAATCCGTTGATGCAGTTTGCGATCCCATTGAAGCTGCAAATTTTCCAACAGAGTTTTTAAACTCATTGGATTTACCTGGCATATCACCGCATAATTTAGTACTCAAAGTTGGATCTCCGGTTATTTTGCTTCGTAATTTGAACCCACCTTGGCTGTGCAACGGCACGCGATTAGTCATTAAAAAATTAATGAACAACGTCATCGAAGTCATTATTTTAAATGACAAATTCCGGGATGAAAGTATATTACTTCCACGAATCCCTATTATGTGCCAATCCCTATTATGCCTATTATGCCCCCACAGATGTGCCAATTCAATTTAAACGCATTCAGTTCCACATTAGATTGGCATTCGCAATGATAAGGCCAAACAATGTCTGTTTGCGTCTTAGATTTGAACACACCATGTTTTTCGCACAGATACGTGGCATACTCTCGAGTGGGCAAACCATCCAGTTTATTTGTGTTAGCTAAAGATGGAATGACAAAAAATATTGTACACTCCATTGCACTAAGAGATTAATATTGTTGACTAATATTTTCAGAATTCGTTGTATATATAATTTATAAAAAAAAGTTACAATAAATTAAAAAAATTATTATTTGTTGTGTTGTTATTTTCCCATTCCGTCATCGTTCACAGCGCTCCATGCCTTTTCCACTCATATACCACATACGCACGCACTAACAATAAATAAGATATATTTTCATACTCTAGAAATAATTCATATGGCAAAACAACGTTTGCCTGGTCAGCTAGTATATATATATATATTGTTAAAAAATATGTATGAAGTGTCCCATCAAGCTGAAAAAAGTCTCTCATCTCTTAATTGCGCTATTTCAGAATAAGTTTTATAGTATTCTTTAAGTTGATTTTTGTGAAATGTTGTTTTTCGACTTTTGTCACTTTTCTCTCATCTCTCAGGGGTGCGATATATATAACACAGATGCAAAATAGCCAATGGCTAAAATAACCATAAATTCTGAAAGTTTTAGTTTAATATTGTCTATCACTGAATAAAATGTTTTGTAAAAGCGAAGCGTACTAATTGGCAGCCCTGTAATAGGCATAGGGAGATATAGCGGCCTGTTCCTCCAAACCCACTGTTTCGTGGTCCTACATATAGTCAACCATCTTACAAGTACTCGTGTTTACACGTTTTAATGACACCAGTGCTGGAATCGACTATTCTTTGCCGAGCACTTGGTAACAATACTTGAAAAGCGCTTATTTAGTATTACTGTCAACGTGGCAAATTACCGCAATAATTATCAATCTATTTTCATTTTATACTTATAATGTGATAACTATTAACTACTCATGGTTCGAATTTGAGCTTGGTAAAAATGTGTCTTGGAGCATTGTTGTCAATTACGCTAATTACTTCGTTAATCAGAAAATATAGAAGAGAAACGTCTTTAGTTTTCCCCTTTTTCTTATAAGGAGCACGAATTTGAAACTCCCTTGTAACAATCTTCTATTTTGCATAACTTTCAATTGGAGTATAATTATCCCGATAATTATACTATCGATAATTATACTATACCGTATCGAAACGAAATTTTTTTCGTTTTTTCCTTTATTTAATAAGGAATACGACGAAAATAAATTTGAGACTTCAATCTTCATGGCATTTTTATATTTAGAATTAACATTCAATTGGAGGTAAATTACCAACTAATTACTCCGAAAATTTCAAATGAATTATTTTAGTTTTTCTGTTAATCCTGTAAAGAACACGTTATCTAAATTTGAGACCTCTACCATGTTGAAAACGTGCTATTTAGCGCAATCGTCAATTAATTATTCTAATAACCCCTATAATTACAAAATATCGCAATGAAACAAATTTTTTAGTTTCTTACGTATCTCATACAGAATGCATACTCCAAATTTTAGGTTTTTTACTTACGCGGAGATGAGAGAATTAGTAATGAGTGAGTGAAAGAATAAGTGAGGGCTTTGCCTTTTATGTATACAGATTTAATCAGTAAATAAAATTTATTAATTACTAACTTCTTTTTTTATAATTTTAATTAATTTCTTTAATCTTATTTTTGTCATCATTGTTCCCACTTTCTCTTGTGTTTCAGCATTTATTCTAATAACTGCTGTGATGAAACAGTTGAAGCTTGACGAAACGTCCAACAAACCTTTACCAGGTCTACAATGTTCACCGATGCTCTTTTTCTATTGTATGCTGTTCAGTTTCCTTAAAAGACTTCATTATGGTTTCGATTATTTATTTTGTAGTAAGTATATTGCCACTTGCTAATTTTGATAAGATTAATTAAATGTTGCTTTTAAATGTACTACCGTTCACAAAAATTACTAATTTATAGCCAAAAGACAGCTCAAGCTTTTTATCTATTTATTTTTAATGGTATGCATAAAAGACAATATTGACACCAGGAAACAAATGGCAGGAGAACGAAGAAATAATAAAAACGTGACAGAAAAATGTCTATGGACCCATTTGGTTGCTAGCTACAGTAGCGTTCCAACAAATTTTTGGGCAGACTCAAGTGAGTACAGTTCATATGTTCCTGAAGATTACAGAGCAAGTTTGAGTGAGTCACAGAGTACACTTACAAAGTCTAAATGCCTAGCAAGGGAGTCGCGACCAGTAGCAAGGCTTAATTCGGCTACTACTTTCCTTTTAAGCCTGTTTGAAATGTTTTGAATATTTTTCCACCAGGATTTCTGTTACATCCTGTTTAATAAGCAATTCGCTGCACTCAAATTGAAGCTTCTCTACCAGCTGATCGAATTAATCCAGTTACACCATTTTTCTCCACAGGATCAGATTTTGCCGGCCCTGTACATATTCGCACTTTGAATCCTTCAGATACAGCTTACATTGTACTGTTTACCTGTTCAACGACTAGAGCCTCTCATCTCGAACTTGTGTCAGATCTTTCGACGGATGAGTTTCTGTTAACATTGCAGAGATTTGTGGGTCGTAGAGGACTACCGCATACTATCTATAGTGACAATGCTGCCACTTTCCACTCTGCAAATAAGGAGATAATACTTCTATGGAACACTCTTACATCTACTAAAGTGCATCAGTTTTACGCTCATAATGGCATAATTTGGAAGTTCGTCGCACCCAGAGTGGGTTGGTGGGAGAGCCTAATCGGATTTTATTTTATTTTATAACCGTCGTTGAACAGCGGACCCAATTTTATCGGTTTACGACTACTAATGTTCAACTCCTTAGCCTTGTAATTTTGAACCCTATCCAGAAGACAAGGGAACTCCTGGATCAAGTATTGGGAGAATTTTTGCTTTCGTGGAGGTCTTTTTGATGGAACTAACCCGCATTTGGAGAGGAAAACCACGAGATCATCCCACGATTAGCCTGACGGCAAGGGGACTCTTACCTACTATCTGTCTACCACTGGGGATATTTCCCGTCAGCACTGTGGTCGGTGCAAGCCGGATGCGGAATTCGTATCGATTGGGATTCGAACCTGGTTCGCCCCATTGGAAGGCGAGTGCTTTATCCCCTGGGCCTTCGTAAATCTCTTGGTCGGGTACTATTAGACAAAGAAAATATATCCACTGTACTTGTAGGTACAGAAGCCGCTCTTAACATCAAACCCCTTGTATGTGAAGAGGGAGATGAAGACAACACAGAAGCCTTGACAACGGCACATTTCCTAACAGGTAGAAAATTAACAACTATACCCACAAATCTGAATAACAATCCAAGACTTACAAAACTCTACAGACAACAACAAGATGTGTTGGCTATATTTTGGAAAAGATAGTGCAAAGAATATCTGCTGCAACTGCGCTCTTATCACCAAGTTCGCAATATTCATCAATTTCTTTAACATCCGTACAGGAGATCTTGTGCTACTACAAGAAGACGTTAGACTCAGACACATGTGGTAGAAGGCCCGAATTACCAATCTAATTAAGGGACGTGATGGGGAAATTCAAACATGCGTGTCAAGAGATGATGGATGGAAATACTATAACTCGACCTATACAGCTGGTCATCCCTCTTGAGGTTGACGAGGATGCTGCGACATCAATGGGGAGTTAGTTTAAATAATTGTTTTAACAAGGCTGGCAATTCTTGTAATTGTAATAATTGTAAATCTGGCTGATTGCCAGGCAACTAAATAATTTTCCTTTTTTTCTTGCTAATAATGTTTTTTGTTTACAGTCTGTATGTCAGTGGAAATAAAAGAAGACGATCGCTGTAAAAGCTAACAACTACTTTGATCAGCCAGCGTAGGGACTGAGGACGCGTAGTATCAATTCTCGTTAAACTGTTCTACCGTGAAGTGCTCGAATTCGCTCTCAGATAGCCGGCATACCCAAACGGAGGAGCCATCCTCTCTGAGGAGGATCAAAACTGTTATGGTAAATCTTCGGATCAACCTCAGGGTTGTTTCCCAGACCATCACATATAGCCTATTGAGCAGCTCTAGTGCTACGTAAATAAAGTACCTATCTATCTACCCTATCGTGGTTTAATTTGAGATTGGAATTAAGCGGGGTAATTTACTTTTTTTCGTCGCAAAATATACCCCGAATTATCCGGCATACTCAAAAATTTGAATTTCTCGGCCTGCTGGTAAACTTCACTATTTCCGGTGGGTCGGCTGATGCAGGGTAATAAGATATGTGATGTTTCATATCATTTACTTAAACTTGGTGCACATTAAGATCAATAATATATCATATTTCAGGGATGACAACCTTCAATTCTACCACAAATTGAAATTGTTACTCTTTGGCATATACAGTCTTACTGAAGATATCCATCTCGTTTTCTTGGTATATTACTAGGTCATGTATAAGGGCATTAAAGTAGTTATACTGAGTGGAGGTTTCGGCCATGGTGGTAAATTTAACTTGGTATTACCCTCTGACCGCATGAAGTCTACCGATTACGAAAAAAAGATTAGAGGCTCGTTTATCAGCATTTGAAGAGAGGATTGTTGACACAAGTCAGATTTTCCTGCAAGAGAATGCCTTCATTTACATTACAAAATCTTCGAGGATTGGACTTAAAGCTCTTTCTCATGACCTCAATTACCAAGTAAAATGTGAAAGGATATCCACAACAAGGCTCAGTATATACAAATAAGAATCACTTTCTGCCTGTGACAGAATTAGACTTTCATGATTGAAACTTGGCATAGCCGTGGTGATAGAGCATTCGTATTCCAATGAGGCGAACCGGGTTCGAATCTCAGTCGATACGAATTCTGCATCCGGCTTGCACCGAACCACAGTGCTGACGTGAAATATCCTCAGTGGTAGACGGATCATCGGTTAGAGTCTCCTAGATTGCCGTCAGGCTATCCGTGGTAGGTTCTCGTGGTCTTCCTGTCCATGTAACGCAAAGGAGGATAAGCTCCATCAAAAAATCCTCCACGAAGGGAAATTTCTCCCAATACTCGATCCAGGAGTTCCCTTTTCTTCTGGATTGGGTTCAAAATTACAAAGCTACGGAGTTCAATATTAGTAGTCGTAAGCCCATAAAATTTATTTGTCTGTTCAACGACGGTTATAAAATAAAAAATATAAACTATTAACGTCCTAGGATTGGTAAATGGCATGCAACATCACATGTTTTAAGCCATATAAAAATGTGGTGAATATTTTGGCTATAATCACAAGTGGTTTATTTCGGGGGAGGGGACATTTTCTCTCCTTTTTTTCTACTTATTCCATGTTTTTTTCCTGGACGGGTGGTGCATGACTAAGTTACTCCTTGAAAATATGTGTTTAGATATAGACATTCTTAATATGCAAGTTTCGTTCCAATTTGTTTGCTTCCAGTTATGGCACAAAATCTGTTCTATTTTAGGAGGTACATACTGTAAATGTAAATTGTAATTTTTTTCAGTTGTACTGGATCTTGCATGTGGACTGTGCGTTTTATTTGAAAAGGAACGAATTTTCCAAGCTACTGTTTCAAGAAAAACATTTGTTATTTTCTTCAAACCAGAAACTGTAGAGGTTTGTCATTTATTTTTTGCTAGTAAGTGGATTGATAGTAAAACATCATGCATGATAAAACTTAAGATTCTCGTCATAATACACTCTATAACAAAAAAATTCGACGCACTAAGAAGCAATCATCCGATTGCTTTGAAATTTTGTATGCATGAAACAGATAATATGGCTGGAATGATGCCGACTGGGGACGTATAGTCTTTAGCGACGAATCCCGCTTCCAACTGTGTCCTGACGATAATCGAAGACGTGTTTGGAGACGCACAGGGCAGAGGGAGGATCCTGTCTTCACTATTGCACGCCATACCGGCCTTCAACAAGGCATTATGGTCTGGGGTGCCATTTCCTTTGACAGCCGATCCCCTTTGGTCGTCATTAGAGGTACACTTACTGCACAGCGGTACGTCGACGGCATCCTTAGACCTGTTTTGCTACCGTTCCCTTTGCAGCGCCCTGGGCTGGTTTTTCAGCAGGACAATGCCAGATCACATGACACGAGTTGCTATGAACTGTCTGCAAGCTTGTCAAACTCTTCCTTGGCCTGCCAGATTACCAGACCTCTCTCCTATCGAGCATGTCTTGGATATGATGGGAAGGCGATTATTCAATTGTTCTGAAATTTTAATCATTTACTATACTGTACATTGTCTTCCTATCCACCAATTTTCGTTTCAATCGGACAACTCCTTCTTGATGCGTCGATTGTTTTGTTATAGAGTGTATAAAAAAATTACCTCTTATACATACACGAAGAAGTAACAATCACATTGAAAAACTTGGTCCAAGTAAGCATCTGTAAGATGTGAACTCACGTTCTACTGAGGAAGAGTGTTAAATACAAGAAGGGGAAACCACAGCGCCACTCAAGATAGAATAGTTAAGGTCTGAGTAGAAATAGCTAAATGGAGTTAGCGAGTGTAGCTAAAATTAAATATGCATAGATTAAAAATATTATTATTCATGGATTAAAAATATAACTTCTTTATAGAGAGGGAATAAACTGAATTAAGTAGATTAGAAATATTTTTGCTGCACTTATTGCTATTTCATTTCTTTATTAAATTTTTTTTCATTGTTTGTTGGGAATAGTTTTATTTCGTCATGCACACAATTTGCTGTAGAGAAATTTAAGCAACGTGTTTTTTTGTCAATATTATAAAGTTTTTAAGAAAATATTTTCTAATGCGTAAAAACTAGTGAATTTTTTTATCTTTATAGTTTGATGGAATCATGAAAGTATATTTTTTCCTTCAGGTTTTATTGAGTAGTAGTGTTAATATTGATAAAGCCTATGTATATGACTATATACACCCATGGATTGGAACTGGTCTTATTACAAGGTGATACTAATTTATTACTGATATTTGAAACATTATTCTCATTAGTAGGTTCATTATAGACACAACTGCCTTTACATTAATAACTCCAAATTAAATCATTACTCTATCGTATTTTATATTTTTTCATTTCCGTTGGTTGTTATAAAGTCGTTGTTAAATGGGTTAAAGTTATTAACTAGTTCTATCTATTTATCAGAGCCTGATTATACCTTTCGTAGGCCCTAGGCATAGCCGTTTTTTGGGCCCTCTCCTCCTTCCCCCCCTCCTCCCCTCTTTTCAAAATATATGCTAAAATTTTCTTGCATATTTTTTTTAACATTTTTATTAATATGGATTTTGAATCCAAATATCGCAAAAAAGTAATATATTAGATCAGTGGTTCCCAACCTTTTCTGAACCATCGCCCCCCTCTTGTGGTTGGCTGACACACATCGCCCCCTTTTTTTTTGCTCAAAAACCATTCTTTGCTGCTTGTGAGCAACCAAACGCTAAGTTATATTTGATTTTAATTTAAAATGTAATGCAAATAAGGAGGCAATTTTATCCTGCCATTTTTATTAATTAAAAAAAATTNCCCCTGAATTTCGTTGGCCCTAGGCACGTGCCTATTGTGCCTATAGGTTAATCCGGCCCTGCTATTTATTGAAACAGTTAAGATGAAAGTCAACTCTTATTTTATTCTCCCTCCCCCTCTATTCTATTTGGTTTATTTCATTTTCATCACATATATTTCTGTTCTTTATTTAAATTTTTTTTCACTCACTGTACATATTGTTCTGTTATTCTCATTAATATGCCAAACGTTGCATTTAGCATATTAGTTCGAACCATTTGGACCTCCAGTTATTGAACCCTACATTCAATCAATCTAATATGTAAAACCAGCTATATTAATTTACAAAAACATATATGGAGCTAAGAGCATAGAGAAAAAAATTACACTAATCGGATATTATTGTTAATACTATAAGAAAATTAAAAAATTGCTAAAATTTTAAATCCTTTTAATTTCATAAATCAGGGTGCACATTTATTAACGTGTTTATTTACATAGCTTTAACATTGTCATCACTTAATTAATGTTTTTTTTTGCAATTAAAATCCACAGTCGCCTACCCACGCACAATTTTATGGCCTACTCAACACATACACCGACATATTTGTTATTATTATTATATAAATAAATATTTGTTTTAATTAAATTATACAATGTTACATACATTATTTATTTTTGCTGTATTTTTTTAATTTTTTAGCTCTGGTAAAAAGTGGCATTACACTTTCGAATATTAGGAGATTTTATACCGGTATTTTTCGATCAGTCTCATATTCTTGTATCACTTCTTCGTAAACTTGAGAAAGATTCCTGGATTGATATTGTTCCTTTAATTACTTCTTGCACTCTAGATATTATCTGTGGTAAGCGATATCTGAGAAATGGATAAATATCTAAACCTCCTTCGTAAGTCTAGAAACCGAGATTAAAATGCAACCTTTTTATTTCTAAAAAGAAGAAAAAAAAATAGGCAATTAGCAATGTAAAAGAAGCAATAATATGCGGAATCATCGATTTAGAATGCCAGAAGACGGAATTGTATCATGCAAATTAATAAACACATTCGAATAAATTTCGTACTAAAATTTTAGGAAAAGTATGAAATTTTATAATTTTTGATCCGTGAAAATTAATTTCCCGACAGACATCTTTCTATATCTTGTTGCTCATGGTTGCATTTTAGTCTGATGAGTCCCGCATTGGACTCTACACTTTTGCGACGTTTCTAAGTTAAAATTATTTTAAGTTTCAAATGAATAAGTGCAGTAACATTTACAGTGAACAAATTCATTTACTTATCTATTATATAGTTTTCTTGAGTTTTTCTGATTTGTTAATTTTATAATACGTCTTTATTTGAAATATCCAATTTTTTCCTAAGTCTACAAATTGACAACGTTAGATAAAGCTGGCCAGCATGTTTTCGCGTGCTGCGTCTCATAAGGTAAAAAATGGGTACCTGCTGGACTTAATTGTCTACTCTCACAAACTAGTGTGGTGCTTAAGAAAGCAAATTTCACGTGCTTCATTTTAGACCATTAGAGATAGGTTAGGTCTTCTTCTCTTTCAACCGCATGCTTTACTCCCAACTAGGAACCATGTATTTCGTTAGGAGTTTTGTCCCTGACCTCCGTTTTAATCATAGACTTATATAACACGGACATGGTTTTAATCATAGACTTATATAACACGGACACGGTTTTAATCATAGACTTACATATATAACACGGACACGGTTTTAATCGGGTCTGGTTCATTTCATCGACAATCACTTCATCGACAGGGTTGTTTCGTCGACAGGCCATTTCGTCGACAGGGTCATTTCGCCGACAGGGTCATTTCGTCGACAAGTCATTTCGTCGACAGGGTCATTTCGTCGACANGTTTTAATCATAGACTTATATAACACGGACACGGTTTTAATCATAGACTTATATAACACGGACACGGTTTTAATCATAGACTTATATAACTATGTCGGTATATGATTTTCAGTTTTGAGCATGATTTCGTAGTGTTTCTCAGTACTGATTTATTGATTTCCGTACAAATTTTTTATTCACCCAGTCGAAGAACTGGTATTCAGCTAGTATTAATTAAAATAGAAAAGTGAAAGCAGAAAATATCCATTCAAAATGCTCATAAAATATTTAAAAAGATCACAACAAACATTTTCACAAGCCGTTTTTTCAAACGTCCCCCTATTATTGTCAAGTTATGATTCTATCCTTAAATGCGAGTTTCAATCATATATTTTACAAATTTTGGTTTTCACCAAATTTGGTTTAAAATTCTACATGAAATAAAACTATTAATTACTCCTTTTGAAATCTAATTAGCTCTAATAAAGTTGAAGTTCTCATAAACATATTGGCCACAGTACGTAAATACCTTTAACTGAATGAACGGCACCGGTTGGCGGTAGTTGGAGGTTCCAATTTGAAAAATAAGCACATCTTAACATAATGTTATTATCAAACGTAAGGCACGTGATTAACCTAGAAATTTTGTTGATTCGTTACAATCCTCATAGAAGTCTTATTCATAATACTGGGTACTTCCAAATATATTATTCCAGGAATTTAATTTTTGCTAAGTTATAGTCGTGGTAAGTTGAGTTGTTGTAGTTTTAGCTCTTGCGCAATGAATAAATTAAACAAAAAATTTTACATTTCACCAGATAAAAAAGTTCGGATTTTTGAGAAACACACAGAATTGAGCCACCTTGAGTAATCCTTGAGTTGGAGAACTTCTAATTAAAGACTTCAAGTACTGAATGAGCACATGGGGGGGAAATGCGGAGGAATAAACATCATTTTTTTACTACATTTCAATACAAGAATTACCTCCAATACAAGAAATATTTGCATGAATTACTTAAAGCTACCTGAATTAATTTATTTTACAAGAATTAATTATTTCAGCACACAAAATAGATTAAGGGGCTTTGAAATTTATTTTTGCAAAAACTTAATGAAGCTTTTAACCTTTCACAAATACTAAAACAGGTGTAAAACTTAAATATTTCTACTTGTTTTTTTTAAAATAGTTACCTCAAGTTTGAAGCTTAAATTGCTATTGTAACTTTTAAACAATATTTAGTACTCACACGATTATTGAAACTTTTCTTTCAGAAACTGCTATGGGCGTAAAAATCAATGCCCAATTGGGTGAAGGCCAAGAATATTATAAAGCAATTCATAAGTAAGTTTTAACGCATCTTATACTTAATTTTTTATTTGTTAATAGGGCACTATATATATATATCACAAGAGGAAGCCTTCCCGACGAATTTTCTTTCACCTACATAAGTAATTTAAAGTTTAGAGAAAAGTAAATTCTCAAATGAAAAAAAATTTCTAGAGTATGCCATAAAGTTTCAAAGGTTGTCTGTTGAGATGCATGAATCTACCAGAAAAGATTACTTATCTCAAGTCTTACTCGGCGCATACTTTCTCCGGCAAAATCGCCCATTAAAATCTGCATTGCTCTTATTCCACACAAACCACAGTGCTAACGTGAAATATCCTCAGTGGTAGACGGATCATGGGTTAGAGTCCCCTTGCCGCCAGGCTAACCGGGGGAGGTTCTCGAGGTTTTCCTCTCCGTGTAACGCAAATGAGGGTTAGCTCCATTAAAAAATCCTCCACGAAGGCAAATTTCTCCCAATACTCGATCCAGGAGTTCCCTTGTTTTTCTGGATTGGGTTCAAAATTACAAGGCTACAGAGTTGAACATTAGTAGTTGTAAACCCATGAAATTGGGTCGGCGGTTCAACGACGTTTATAAAATAAAATAAAATCTGCCTATCTCTTATTCATTAAAACCTGCATTATTCTTATTCCATTAAAATCTGCAGTTTTCTTATTTCATTAAAATCAGCATACCCAGAGGATCCAATATCCAGAGTGACTATGTTAAAAACTACAGTTAAATAGAAATTTATATCTAGGTAATCAGCTAACTAGAAAGCTGCTGCTATATGGTTAATAGCTATTTTGATTAATTTTGTAATGTTCATCTAAATACTTAAAGAATATTTATTTATTATTCTTTTCCCCCCATCTAGAATTGGTACTCTAGTTTTGATCCGCATTTTTAAGCCTTGGCTTTATCCAGAATTTATATTTAGAATATCACCGACTGGAAGAGAATTTTACAAAAATGTAGACATTATTCATCGCTTCACAAGGAAAGTAAGTGGTTTAACGACATTTTTATAGAAAGCGGCGCAATTGGCTCAGCTTATTCTGAACAGCTATCTTGTCAATTTCAAACATTTAGGGAAAGATTTTATTACATAGATAGTAAAAAGCACGTTTAAATACAAGATATGTGATTTTAAATTATTTTGAACGTCAGATAAATAAAAGCTTAAATTTATACACATGAAAGTACTGGTTTTATACTTTTAAAAGCCATTATTTTGAAAATTAGAGTTTAAAAAAAATGAAATTTTTAAGGTTGTATTTTCTAGTTGCCACGATTGTTTTTTAATGTTGACCATGGAAAATGAATATTGTGTAAATATGTGTTCAAGAAACAATTTTCACGAAAACCCTGGCTAAAGAAACAGCAAATTATTGTTATTATAGTTTTTTTTTTTACGGAATTTGAAAGTGAACTATTGGGACAAGTTCTGGCTACTAACACATTACTGGGCTATTGATGCTGTAAGCTATATAACCATTAAAAATTTCAAAAAAGTGAAATCCAAAACTTTACATTTGTGAAAATCCAAAACTTTAAATTATTGCAGCACGTTGAACATTAGTAGTCGTAAACCCAAACATTGGGTCGACTGTTCAACGGCGGTCATAAAATAAAATAAAATTATTGCAGCAAAAAATGACTATACCATCTTTAATATAAATCTTGTATTACGTGAAAAGAAAAAGCAATAAGGTCTCCATTTTTTAATAAACGCAAAATAACCAAAGTTGATATAAATTAAAAATCATGAGGGTTCTTAAAAAATAAACGAAAAAAGAAGATAGTTTTATGAGAAATCTATCTGTAATTTTAATGTATAATTATGAAAGAGAAAAAAAACACTACTGCATTATGCCATTTAAAACAAAAAAAACTTTTTTTTTGTAATGAATCTCTTTATTTTAAAAAATCATAAGTACAACCACTGTTTAGGTTGTTTAACTTAACATTAATTTTTTTTCCACTGCAAATACAATAAGCTTCAGAAACTTTGAAATTAAAAAGGCGTTCAGAAAAACCTAAAAGGAATACGTTAAATAAAATAAAATTTCAATATTAGTCCAGAATTATTTTAAAGTGTTAAACTTAGAGTAGAGAAATAATATGCGGACCTCTCAACAGTCTGCAGAAATACATTTCATAGTTGAAATTTGATATTCTGAAAGGGCCATCTTTATTAATAAACTTAAAACGAGATTTGTTTTTAAAAGTTATTTCAGTCTTAAGTGCTTCTTTCGGGAATTTTTCTCATTGTTACTTATATTACACTTTGTTTTGCTGTGCAAAACCTACATAACATAAAATTTAGAAATGATTATGTTGCGCAGTAACTTGTGCAAGGAAAGCTACAAAATAAAAATATTTAACGTTCGTTGCTTTCAAAATTATCTACCATCAAAACATGTAAGTAAAAAATATTATTCAAGCAGCTGAAATGAAACTATGAAGTTGGAATCAAACGTGAAAGAATAATTTTTATTTATATTATATCTTAATTTAAAAGTATTTAAACTACTTAGAGTATTGTTTGAAACTTTTTAAAGTTTTAAGATAATCAAATCAGACTTTTTTCCACAAATCGATTCACTGCAAAAATATTTTTTTTGCGCATGCGCAGTATGAAAGAACTACAATAACTACTCATATCTTGCCCAGTTTTTAAACTAATTTCTTTCAATTTTTAAAATAATAATTTTGTAATTCATTTTAAATTGCTCCAAAATTCACAATGCATGTGTATAACTATGTTCTACCTAGGTAATAAAACAGAAGAAGTCAAAAATGATAGAAAATAATCAACAATTAAAACAGTTGGATGTAACTGCCAATGATTACCCCTCAAATACAAAGTCTCGCAGAGCTTTCCTGGAATTGCTGTTAGAACATCATTTTAAAGATTCATCGTTTACAGAAGAAGACATTCGAGAGGAAGTAGATACTTTTATGTTTGCAGTAAGTTTTTTTTAAAAATAGTATTGTAGATTAGTATGAATGTAAAATAAACACTATTTTATCCCAAAAAAATATTTCATTTGAAATTATATCTCATTTGTAAAGTTTATTGACTATCTTAACGGTACTAGTACTTCCCAAAAATTTAAATTGTGCTTTTAATATCAACCAGAGCAGTTGTATGTCTGTCCAAAATACGTGTTTTTTGAGTTGTGCCACTATTGCAGCCCGTGAGCGATATAATAAGCTACACAAAATAAAGTATGAATAAAGCAAAGCTTATTAGTGCAAATAATGAGTATGAATGTAAAATAAACACTAATTTATCCAAAAAAAATATTTCATTTGAAATTATATCTCATTTGAAATTATATCTCATTTGTAAAGTTTATTGGCTATCTTAACGGTACTAGTACTTCCCAAAAATTTAAATTGTGCTTTTAATATCAACCAGAGCAGTTGTTGCATGTCTGTCCAAAACACGTGTTTTTTTGAGTTGTGCCACTATTGCAGCCCATGAGCGATATAATAAGCTACGCAAAATAAAGTATGAATAAAGCAAAACTTATTAGTGCAAATCATGGTACAAAAATAGACATACATTAGTTCTTTAAACTAGGATTTTTATCAGTGTGGAGACATTAATGACCCAAGAAAAGCGTAAATCTCAGTGTGAACTTATCTAGTTTTTGCTGACCATATTTACCAGAATTGTATTAAAAACCTTTTCAAAGTTGTTCATTTTTTTTTCTTTTTGTATATTTTAAATGTTCAAGGGGTGGTTTGTAAAGAATCACCTCTTCGTTCGAGCACAGTATCGAAAATACGAGATATCATTGATTAAAAAAAATTAAACGTAAAACATTCATTGGTGAACATAGATTACTAAAAACTACTATATTAATTTAATTAAAACATACATTATAATTAAACATAGACATAATTTTTACAAAATATTTAAAAAATAGAAGCAGGTAAAATCTCCTTGAAAAAATTAAACATTCTTGAAGTCTAAATTACAAGTGTACAGAGATTAAAAGCTTGCGAGAAACAAATATGCTTTTAGGTTGAGTACACATATTTAAAATTTAGATGAGTAAAGTTTGAAATCCTGGATGTCAAGAAAATGAAGTTTTTTAATAGTAAAAATCATTAGTCTAGACTTAAAAAAATTTAATAAAACCTCCTGGAAAGCTGAGGTCCAATTTAATTTCTAATAAATATGATTTTTAAATATTATATTTATTTTAAATTTCTGTAAAATAAATATGATTTTTATACTAATTTTAATCATAAATACTCAATTTCTTGGTTATAGTTTTTTTGTGCTTGAACAACGGCATTAAATCTAAATTACTTTTTAAATTATAATTTTAGCTTTAAAATGTATTGTTAACTGTTTTGAACCTGTGTATTCTTATAATTTAAAAATTTATAACTGTTATAAGTTCGTTTCGTTTTGGTGAAAAAACCTTACGAAAGAAATTCGTTGGGTCACTTAATTAATATTAGCAAAAATTAGTACAGTTTGATTTTGACAAAATAATAAATTTTTTAATTATCCAAAGACGCTAATTACCATTTTTTCTTCTTTCAAATTTGTCGGAGGTTGCTAGGTTTTAAGAAGGGAATTTATTTTAGGTGCATTATGTTAATTTCAAAATTTTAATTTTAGGGTTACGATACTACGGCTGCGGCGATTTCTTGGGCATTATATTTCGTTGGATTATATAAAGACGTGCAGGAAAAAATACACGAAGAATTGGATGAAATATTTGAAGGTGATAATGAAAGAGAAATTGAACGTGATGATTTATTGCGCATGAAGTACTTGGAGTGTGTCATTAAAGTATAACTTTATATCAGGAATTCATAACATCAAAATACTGTTACTTTTTTATTATCAAAAAAATAATGTTTTCTTTATGTTTAATTTACAATAGGAGTCTCTTAGATTACACACTTCAGTGCCTTTTGTAGCTAGAGGCGTTGAGGAAAACTTCAAAGTGTGTAAGTAAAAATAATCTTCTAATAGTAAAAGCAAAATTATCGTGGAAGAAGAATTTAATTTACAAAACATAAAATAATAACAAATTTAATATGTGCAATTTTTCTATTATTTGTTACGAAAATGTAAGACAGTAGAAATTGCATTTAACAAGATGCTGAAGAAACTGAAAAAATACTCTTTAAATCCAGTCCTTCGCTAAATCTAACTTTAAATTGTGTACCATAAATGAATACAAACTAAATTGCTTGAACTGAGAAGTAATACAGTTTATTTTATTTTGCAGTCGCTTTTGAACAGCCAACAATAGCCTTGTCATTTTGATCAAGAGAACGGAACTTTTGAATCAAACTAGCCTCAATAGAGGATTTTATAACTGTACAACTTGAGCCGCGATTGCTCAGGGGATAGAGCGTGAGCCTTCCAATGAGGCGAACCGGGTTCGAATCTTAGTCGATACCAATTCCGCATCCGGCTTGCACCGACCACAGTGCTGACGTGAAATATCCTCATTTGTTACCCTGGGAGATTCTCGTGGTCTTCCTCTCCATGTAACGCAAATGAGGGTTAGCTCCATCAAAAAATCCTTCACGAAGGAAAATTTCTCCTAATACTCGATCCAGGAGTTCCCTTGTCTTCTGAATGGAGTTCAAAATTACAAGGCTACGGAGTTGAGCATTAGTAGTCGTAAACCTATAAAATTGGGTCGGCTGTTCAACGACGGTTATAAAATTATAAAATAAAATTGTACAACTTATTTGCATTTGCGTTACATGGAGGGAAAAGTCACCCATGTTCGAAGGAAAAGGGACCCTAACCAATACCAGGGCTAAAGAGAATAGAAGGGCTGGTTCACTCCTTTGAAGTATCTCTTGCCGCGCCGATCCTCCGACGTCACTCTAGTGACGTCACTTTGGCGCAAAGNATGGAGGGAAAAGTCACCCATGGTCGAAGGCAAAGGGACCCTAACCAACACCTCCTAGAAGATGGAAAGACTTTCCACGGATTAATTTAGTTGTCTGATGTAATGAACATAAACAGCGCAGTAATGGTTAATATGAAAGATTTCACTACGTTCAGAATAGTAAAGGATCGGATTTCTCGTTTACGGTAACCTTCTCTTTTCTAGGAGGAGTCTCTCTAACCCAGGGGTTTGCCAAACTTTTTTGATCATAGACCCCTACATAATTTTTCGAAATCTCCATCGACCCCCATAAAAGTAATTTTCTGTTAATTGAAATAAAACTCTATTAGATACTGTGTTTCTACATTTATTTTATGATTTTGAACATTTATTAAAGTAATAGTACATAGTGTAACAATAGTTTTATGAAAAATACATTAATGTTGAAATATAAATACCTTAATATTTATGAAATAATAAGTAATTATAAGTAAGTAGAAATAATAAGTAAAGTAACAACAGATTTATTGTTTCTTAATCAATGACATGGGTGTGCCTGGTGTTTTTTTTCCTGCAAGGTTCGTTATATTGGGTTCAAAATTGGTCAATTTTAATCTTAAATCCCCTCGAAACTCCACATTTAATTTATTTCTGTTCTTAGTTAAGATTGAATTTACGTGACTGAAACGAGCTTCAACCATGTAGGAACTTGGAAATGCTATCATAAATGGCTGAGCTATTTTGTAAAGTCTTACATATTTTTGCATTATATTTATATTTGTCCAAAATTTGCTTATTGTTAACTTTTTAAAAAGAATCTTTGCTTCAAATCCCCATAATGATTCAGCAAGCTCATCTTGCAGGTTGATGTCCACGTTTTCAATTGAAGCAGAAAATGGCACAATAATCCAATCAGGGATGTCAATGTTTTCCAAATCAACAAAACGCAGCAGTTTAAAATCGTCACTCAATTTTTGAAGATTACCTGTATATATTTCCAAGTCTTCTTCTTTTATTTCTAATTGTCACATATCTGAAAAATACTGATAATCCTTCGACTAATCGACCCTTCTGGTTCGGATCGACCCCCTGGCTCAGATCGACCCCCGCTTATGTTAAATAGACCCCTAGGGGTCTATGTAGACCACTTTGGCGACCTCTGCTCTAACCCATGATCCGCCTACCTAGTAGAATTTATGTCAGAACTGTATTCAGTGCGAGTAGGTCGCGGAATTCGCATCAAGCTGTCACAACTGGGACTCCAACATAGGATTACCTCATTGGAAAGTTAACGCTCTATCCCCTGAGTCAACGCGTTCAATAACGTTGATTTGTGCTTGATTAAAGACTTCATGGTTTTTAAAAAAATGTATGAAGAGGGTATTAAAAGTTGATATGTTTCGAACTATCAAGATTTAAAACAAAAAAGCTTAAAGTTACTAACGAAAAATTGAAAATGTAGGTGATAAACGAAACTAGAAAAACCACGGTAGCAGAGAGTGAAAAAAAATAAAAATATTGAGTTTTATCCATCTCTTTTATGGGTTTTTAGATAAAAAAAATCCAGAGGATTCTCAGTCTCAGAATTTGTCTTTATAGTCAATCAAATCAACATATATTGTTTACTTTTTGAACAGGATGAAATAGTTTTTTATTTGATTTTTGAAAATAAATTTAATTAAACTTGGAATTTTTGATCTTATCAATTTTTCTTTTGTTCACCCTGAAAATTCTTCCCTGTTTTCTTTCCTCTCTGAAAATTCTTCTTCAATTTTTATTTTATTCACCCTTTATTTTAGCCACTCAGGGCTTTCGTGCTTGTAACTAAGATTCTCATTTAATTAGATATTAAATTTAGTTTTTAAACTGTGCTGAAACCAAAATTTAACATTCACTACAATTTTAGGTTGTTAAAAAAGTTCTGCAACACTCAGCTTTTATGAATTATCATATTGTGTTGTTGCATTTTGGTGTTCTTAGTTTAAACTTTCGTCAATATGCTGTAAATGATTTTGGATAGAAACTGAACTTCGGGTTTTGATTCGTTATTCCTATGAAAGAATTAGTTTTTACGTAATTCAAAAGAAACAATGAAAAACCAAAATTATGATAAAATACGACAATCGAAGTTGATAGCTCCGGTAGAAATAAAGGCAAAACCTTTTCTATCGAGAGAACACGACAATTGTCTAAATTGCTCTCTTTCTCTGTACCCCAAAGGTTTTGCTGAAGTCCAGGAAGAGAAAATACAATATTAAATACGTTAAGCAAATACAAAAGTATAAAATCAAGACAAATACTTATAATAAAAAGCAGGGCTCGAAAAAACTCAGATATTTTACCCGTCCCCGAGGACGGCTTGTCCAACAATGTACCCCGTCCTCCTTTGAAACTAACCCGTAGCTTCTAAATAAATAAAAATATAATTTTCTCTTATTTATTACAAACATTTTTATNATGACTTTGGATAGAAACTGAACTTCGGGGTTTGATTCGTTATTGCTATGAAAGAATTAGTTTTTAGGTAATTCAAAAGAAACAATGAAAAATCAAAATTATGATAAAATACGACAATCGAAGCTGATGTCTTCAGGGGGTACCAGCTCCGGTAGAAATAAATGCAAAAACTTTTCTATCGAGAGAACACGACAATTGCCTAAATTACTCTCTTTCTCTATACCCCAAAGGTTTTGCCGAAGTCCAGAAAGAGAATATACAATATAAAATACGTTAAGCAAATACAAAAGTGTAAAATTAAGACAAATACTAAAAATAAAAAGCAGGGCTCGAAGAAAAAACTCAGAAATTTTACCCGTCCCCAAAGACGGCTTGTCCAACAATGTACCCCGACCTCCTTTGAAACTAACCCGTAGCTTCTAAATAAATAAAAATATAATTTTCTCTTATTTATTACAAACATTTATGTAAATTGCACAATGAATTCGTAGTTACTAGGATTACATTATACAGTAATAAAAGAAATATTAGGTTACTAATAGTAACCTAGTATTTCTTTTATGAAATAATTCAAGGTCAAGTTATCTGGAATGTCAATTTATCCGAGGGTACTGCGTTTTTTAAATGAATCAAATATGACGCTTGCCAGTTTCACAATCAAGCCAATGATTTTCAGAGATTTCCGCCCAGAAATTTAAAGAGGTTTTCCATTTAGGCAGATGCTCATAATTGCTTTTAACGCTTCTTGTTTGAGACAGTGCGTAATGTGCTTTTTTGTAAGTTCATTACTGAAAAGCCCCTTTCAACCGCTGCAGAGAAAACATCAATTCCACCTTGCGCAGTATGTTGCTGTATTGTGGGTCATTTTGCTGCATTAGGTCTTTATAAATAGCTTGAGCTCGGAGGGCTGAAGTTTTCTTGTGTTTAACAATGTTGTGTATCTTAAATTTTAATAACATCCATTAAAATTTCAGATGTATTCCAACAAAAATTGAAAATATATCACGAACATTAACGGGAAAATAGCCGTCCGCGCGGACGTCGGATTCGAGAAATTCATTGTCCACGGGGAATTTTTGACCGTCGCGGACGGGCGGTATTTCGAGCCCTGATAAAAAGCTCAAAAACTTACTTAAAAACAAATCCTATAACCAACTTACACTACTGACTACCAAGCAACAACTAAATTGAAATAAACGAAACATTTTTTCGTTTATTTCAATTTATGGCTTACGGAGCTGGTACGCCTTGAAGACGTCAGCTTCAGTTGTCGTATTTTTTAATAATTTATCTTTTTTCTTTTGTTTCAATTCTTTTTGGAATTTCAGCTGCAAACCGCGTTTAACCACTGGAAGTATAGTTTTTAATTGCCATAATTATTCTGAATTCTTTTCTTATTATTTTTAGTTCATTTATCATTCACAAGTGTTTCGAAACTTTTTTAACACCTAATAATTTGTTGTAATGTTTTGCTGTATTTATTTATCTCTGATCTAATTTATAGTGGACTACGAAATTGAAAAAGGGAGTCTTTGCTTAATATGCCCATTTATACTTCATAGAGATCCTAAATCATTTCCAGATCCAGAAAAATTCGACCCAAAAAGATTTCTTCCCGAGAACGTAATTGGAAGGCATCCATTTGCCTTTGTGCCTTTCTCAGCCGGGCCAAGGAACTGTTTAGGTAGTGTAATGAATAAACACTTATATAATTAATAGAATAAAAATAAGAAGTTAGAATAATAGAAACGTCTTTGCAAATTGTTTATGCAGTTTATTTTCAAAGTAATAATCCACACGTGCTCAAATGTTTTTGGAAGTGTCTAATAGTATATGAAATGTACTGTTAAATATGCATTCAGGAAATGAGATACCTGCAAGTGACGTGGTATATCGATCCCAAATGGTGTGGGTATATCGATCCCAAATTTTTTCGGAAACGTGGATTTCTTTACGTTTTCAACTGTTCTTTCCACTCTCTTTCGAGTAAGCTAAACCCATCTGACCAGTTTAGTCAGATTAATAGCTCACAATAATTGGACTGTATATTCACTTAATACTCTCATTAATTTTTTACCAGTATTCCTGACTCTCTCGTGAGCCTGATACTCTCCTGCTTTAGCACTCAGTCCTACAGTTAAAATTCAATTCGTGCCATCTGTATGTTGGATGGGAATTAACCACGTTAGCTATCAATCCTCATAAGTGACACATTCTATATTCTTACACTAAGATACTTTAGTAAAGATTTCAATTCTTTCATAATATATTTCTTACCTTAGACATAGACGGCATGAATTCATGTAGAACATAAACAAACAAATTATGTATCGAAGTTGCCATATACACATAACAAAAATATGTCACGGTTACAATAAAAAACATTAACAAATAATCAATCCAAGTTAATTAAAAGTAGACGAGAAAAAAATTGTATTTTTGTACAAATTCGATGTGCGATATAGTGCTGTATTTTAATTTAATTCACGTTAATTAATATTCTAACTTATGAGAAGAAACTTAGCTCAACTTTAACACACCATTTTGCTTATAAGCGATCAAGTGAACCTAACGTCATAGGTCACATGTGTGGGTATTGTGATCTTCTTCAAGTGCAATTACCCAATTGCCATCAAAACAAAAGTATTGAATTACAAATTAAAATAAGAAGTAGATTTTTAAAAATATTTAATTGCAGTTGGAGAAAACACCAAAGNAATGGAAATTTTAATGAGAAACTGTATCAAGATTTGTAGATATTTCAAAAGTTCAAAATGAGACAATGTTACTTCTTACTTATTTTCAGCAATGTAAAAATTTGTTTGCTAAATTATATTCACAAAACAAAAAAAAATGAAATAGAAAAGAGTAACATACACGATTATTTTTGTATTTGAATAAATATTTTCTAGGATGCAAAACCTGACAAAAAAATTTTTTTTGCACCGTTGGTATGATAAATTTCACAGAAACGAAGAAATTAGGTTTTTATTAACGAGAAAAGTATTTTAAACCCATATAGATTTTTTACGAAAATTGTCCGCAAAAAAATGACAACTAATATATTTCAGTTCGCGGTCCACAAAAAAGGCTTCGCGGGCCGGATGCGGCCCCCGGGCAGCCAGTTGGAAACCACTGCTCTAGTGAAAGCATTGTTTTTGCACTAAAAATTGACAAAACCGAAAATTAGATAAATTAAATTTCAAGGTGGATTGTATTGGGATTATTTTATGTTTCAAATTACAAGCACAATTTTATGCACGTTTTGTTACAAAATCAGCAACAATTTTTACTAAAATATACTATCAATATTTTTCTTAGGAAAAAAACCTGGATTGTAATATAATTGAATAGTTTCTATCTACTTATCTTTTCACCGTTTAAAACCTTGTTATGCCCTGCAAAAAAATTGCAGTTTTTTATTTTAAGTTTTGGGCATTTATTTTTTTAGAAAATATATTTAATAGACAATTAATAAATGCCTTTAAAAATTTTACTTCCCGCAAGTTTAACAATATTTTGTGTTTGTTGAATTATTACCTTCATATCGATATAAAAGATAAGTTTCTAGTCCAGCCAAGTACTTTTTCCAAGAAGTTAATAACAAAATTTTTTTTTTAATATCAGAGCGAAAAATCTAAAATAATTATGATTATTGAATCGCCACCAGACCAGAAATATATTATTTTATTCAAATTTTTCACATAAATAAGAAAAGCACAAGGTTTTCTTTTTCTCAAAACGAAGTTAGCTAGACTGAAGCCCTTTTATGCATATGTCATTCTTCGATCTGTAATATTATTCTTTTTCTTTGTTTGTAGGACAGAAATTTGCTTTAATGGAAGAAAAGACTGTGCTTGCAGATATATTCCGGAACTTTGAAGTAACATCCAAGGACCCCAGAGACAAAGTCAATGTTACTCCTAACCTGGTCATTCGAAATCTTGACCCACTCATGCTACGATTTACACCTCGAAATGCTAAATGAATTTCAGTAAAGATTAAAATAATTATAGCTGAACAGTACTTTTATACAGCAGCAAATTATCATTATGTAGCGTAAAACGGATTTTAGATTGCCTTGATGTTTAATAAAGTAAATAAATAACAAGTCAGAGGCCTTTAAAATTAATCATTCAAATAAAAATATTCAAATTTTTAAATGTAATAATTTAAAAAAAGCTAAAAAAAATTAGTTCAATCATAAATCTTTTGACGTTTTTTATCACCAAGTTGTTACCTGCAATTACTTAAATGCTAAATAATTTCTAGAGACAAATATCTACAAAATAGCTGAAATATTGACTCATTTTTAAAATAATAAGGGATTATAATTAAGTTTTTTTTTAAACTTCCGAACGTACTCAAAACATACTATGAGTTTAAAATCAAGCATTTTAGATTATAATCTTATATTCAGGATTTCAAAGTGTTATTAGTTATGTACCGGATGATTAAGGATTATTGAAGCAGAATTCTCTTTTTAAAATCTTATAATATTTCCCCCTTTAATTACGTTGATGCTTATCCAACTAATTATTACGTTAATTGCGACAGACAGATTAAAACATTGAACAATTATATTAATTTGCATGAGGATGCAGTGAAATAAAAATTTTAAATATTATAAATAATTCTGAAAATTATAAACAGCTTTGCTTCAGAAGTGGAATAGCTAAGTAACATGGTAAAAAATTAATACAAATATTTAACCACTCTCTGTAATTTTTAGGTTTCTTACCATAACGCAATTGTCACGTACTATTTACTGTTATTTTTTAAAATTATCTCTAGATCAACTGATACAAAAAATTTATCACTTCTTTGCATTTATTTGTTAAAAAATTAAGGATTTTGCATTATAAAAAAGCTAACTATTTGTTAAGGAAAAGAATTTTTTGCGAGTTAAAAATCCGATGTTAACTCAACAAAAGATATTTAAGTCTATTTCAAAATTTTTTGAGGATGTTAATTTTTATTTATATTAGTGTGTGTTTTGAATGTTCGACACAATGCTAGCACGTAAGCTTTGACAAGGATAATGTGCCAAAACTGAGGCCATGTACCTCAATTGTTTGACCGCCTCTTATCTTTTTGAGAGAAAAAAAAGATTAATGTATTTCCTACAAAGAAATAATTCTTTAATTGTATAATCGAATTTGTTGTTAAAATAACACCAGCTTGTGTTGATTTCCATACAATCCTACCATTTTTGAACAATTTTTAATTTTTTGAAGAGATCACAGCAAACACACACACCCAGGTCACAGAACAGGTGTTCTCATAAATCGTAGGTCTATTCGTATTTTCATTTAACTTTTGATGTGCTTTAAAATACTATTTGGTGCAGCCATATCCTCGCTTGAATCTAATATCAAGTAGCACGTAATATTAGATTACATTAGAAAGCCAGAAAGACCTTATATAAATTTTGCATAACTTTCGAATATTAGAAATATACCAAAGGTCGCTATCTTCTCTGCACATGCTTTACATAGCCGTAATATTATTTTTCATTGATTTTGGTGCTATATAGCTTTTAAGTTTTCTGTATTATATTGCGTTATCTTTTACTGGAGGAAGATTTGGATGGCAGTACAATAATTCGGCGATATAAATTTACTTAATTTCCTGTGAAGTGAAAAACTTTCGAAGAATAGTTTTATAATGTCATTCCACGCATTATTTACTTTATTAGCAATAAATAAATAAAATTCTGCTACCATCCCTTTCCTCCTCTAAATTATATTTTTTGCCAAGCTGATTTTTATAAAAAAGTTTCTTCTTTTCTTTACGCAAAGAGTTTTCTGATAAATTTTATATCAGTAATTATTTTAAAATACCATATTGTTCTTTAAATTTAAATGCATTCCTAAATTAGATTTATAAATAAGACAATTATATCCAAATCTCAATTGAACATGTTAACTTATGAAATACATTTTATAAAAAATCATTATAAATTTCACATTTATCGTACGATATTAATATGCCTAAAAAACACTCGATATTGTATAAAAGTTAAATTTCCATTTGAATTGAGAGGCAGTTCAGAATTTTTAAAAATATCTAGTATATAACTATTTCTGATTTTTAAATTCTATAAAATAAAACAGTAACAATACTTAAATATTTATTCAATATTAGAATACATTTATTGTTCGAATTTTTAAAGTGTTATTTTTTTAATAATAAAAAAGGGAGAAAAAAAATTAAAAATAACCAAAATACTTTTTTCACTGAAATTGAAATCTTTCAGTATCTGAAATTTTACTTAAGAAAAGACCTGAAACAGAACCAAAAGTATTCGTAGACATTTTTACAGGAGGTGAGAAAGGAAACCATTTAATAATTTTAAAATTTTCAATGTATTGTAAATATTACATTGTAAAAATATTTTTACTCATAAAAATTAAGAATTCGATAATTATTTAAAACTACTAAGTTCAAAAACAACAATTCATTTCGAAAGATTCACATATCATTTAAATGTTTTTAAAAAAATGATAAATATTGTTTTACATCTAAATTAAATTTGCACAAACATGTAATTGCATACAAAAAATGAGTTGAAAAAATATACATTTTCTAGATCACCTTTTAAAAGCTTCCTTTAGTATTAATAATACTAAATTTGTCAAATCAATCACAATTTTGAGAATGATGTTATTGCAATATTTTTTTTCTTCAAAACAAAACAATTCCATTACTTGTATTTCATATAAGAGATTATGCATAACAAATATAGTAAATATCACCTCGTTTCCAAAAAAAAAAAAAAAAAAACTAGGTGTTATATGCAAAGATTAAACAGAGCTTTCTAAAAAAGGAAAATGCGATAAATTGAGCAGAAGTCAAGGTTCTAACATTGTTGAATCAGCCAGAAAAAAATTATATTACGCATAAACATTAGGTCAATCATAGAAATTTTTTACTATTATCATTATTTTACTATTATATTATTATAAACATGATGACAATAAAAAAAAATATACTTGTCTCAAATTTCAGCAAAATAATTAAGAGATCAAAATAATAAATACAATCTCGAAATTATAAATACTCACTAACTTGAGATAGTTTTAAACGTCAGTATTAAAAGAAATTTGCATCTGATATCATACCCTTACATTGTGATGCAATTAAACCAAGACAAAAATTCTATTACAAATCTTTTAACGAAAGCAATGAATAGTGAACTTAATCATAATCATATTAGAAAGAAGATAACAGATGCAAAAGAAAGCAAGAAAATATGAAGAAAAAAACTAACGCAAATAAATCTTAGAGAATAAACACAAAAGACTTAACTTTTACTGAGATCGATTGCTCAAGTCTACATTAATTAATTACAAAAAATCATGACAAACTATTTCTCTACGTAATTATTTTATATATATATATATATATATATGTTCAAAATGAAGATAAAACAAAGAAAAATTATAGACATATGAAAAAGGGGGGGAGGAATTAATAAGTAAAAAAATAACAAACAACTGTTTAAAAAAAAAAAAGGATGAAATTTTATTTAAAAAAACCGGAAGGAAAGAAAAAATATAATCTTTTCATCAGCCCACACGATTATATCCGCAAAACAGAGCACTTTCTGATATTGTATCAATAAAGCCAAAGCAAAATATATTGATACAATAGTGTGAGGAGCACTCAAAAAAATTTTTTACAAAAATTACAACAAATAATATAGAACACAAAAAGTAAAAATAACATATAAAAACAGAAAATAAAATAAAATAAAAAGAAAAAACAGTATAAAAAATGGACTATAAAGCGAGTAGCGAAATCAGATCTACTTACATGGACGGGAAATTTTTCAAGAATGATTTAAAAATTTTTTCGCAGAAAGATTGCCAGATTACAAAATATGAAAACAAAAGCGCAAATTCAGTGTAACCAGAGGGTTTTAAATTTTACTCTATTTATTTGTTATTTATTTTACTCAATAGTGTTCTATTTTATTTGTTGTAATTTTTGCAAAAAAATTTTTTGACTGCTCCTCACACTATTGTATTAATATATTTTGCTTTGGCTTTATAGATACAATATCAGAAAGCACTCTGTTTTGCGGATATAATCGTGTGGGCTAATAAAAAGATTATATCTTTTTTTTCCGGTTTTTTTTAAATAAAATTGCATCTCTTTTTTTTTAAAACTGTTTGTTTTTTTATTTTACTTATTATTTCACCCCCTTTTTTTCATATATCTATAATTTTTCTTTGTTTTATCTTCATTTTGAACTTATCTAATGAGTTCTGCTTACACGCAGTTTAAGCGCAATAAATGAAACTTATTGTTTTTCTTAACTTTCTTCGTGTTTTCTTGTATTTATTTATATATATATATCTTAATTGTTTAGCATGAGCAACTTGTATTTACCAGAAGAAAAAACACAAATACATATTTATATTTTTGTTCTATTGATAAAAAAAAATTTTTAAATACGCCCTTTGTCCGAATTACCAAACAATATTTAAAAAAATTTTATGAATATTGTTTGGTATAGTATTTTAGCGTTTAAAGTACAAAAAAAAATTGCGATAGCCGAAAGACAATCACTGGTTACCAATTGGCAAAATGCATGTTGTCTAGTTTTTTTCTTGCTTCAACTCTAACTTTTGGGATCGTGTCAATCAGTTTGAGACCCTCTTTATTTGTGATATTCACTTGAATTAGTATTGAAAATGATCCAGTTTGAACTGTAGGTTAGAATTTCTGATTCTTAATTAGAACAATAAAAACAAAAATATCATTCAAATGATGAAATTCTCTTGTATTCACAACTCAAGAAGTATTTATGGGATCTCTCTGGTCTCATATCTCAAAAATAAACACACCAACTTATTTCTTTTCTTTATTATTCATGAACGGAACATAATTTACATTCACGAAAAATAAGTAAGAAAAGTACGAAAAAAAGTTGAATTTCCCTATTTTTCATTTCAAAAAAGATTAAAAGTTGCTTGCCTAACCGAAAAGTACCGTAATAATTGAAAATATATATATATTTAATGAGTAGGTAACTAAGCATTCTTTTTTGTGAAATTAAAACGATTTTTTAAAGAATTTAAGATATTTAATTGAGAATCATTCTAAAAATGCAATGGTTTTTAGAACAGGAATTTAAGGACCACAGGTTCGTTTAAAATCATTTAGTTTGCAGGCGGAGATAAAAAAATAAAAAAACTTTTGTTACAAATCGACAAAAAATTACTTTATCTGGCTTATTGTTAGAAAAAAAATTAGTTATTGTCTAAGCGGTTTTTTAATCTTATGCTTATCAAACAGAACGCGGTTTAACATACATATACAGAATTACCTTCGATAAGAATGTAAAATGATTGTGTTTTTACGAAATATAATTAAAGAAACTTATGAATATAAAGGAATAAAAGATTGTTTCAATGTTCAATGTCTCGCTTTATTATCTGTCATGAACGATTTTTAAGCTCGCACCTGTAGGTACGTAGAGGAAAAACAAAATTTTATAAGATAATTTAAATTATTTACTAACTTAATAAAGTTAAATTTCATGAAGGTAATCTTTACTAGTATATATTTATGATTTTTGCAATCGGGTGGTTTTATTAACAATATTAGAAGATAATAAATACTAATGATGTGTTAAAGTCTGACGTGAAAGTTTACGCTGTAAACGATCCTCGTATCTCGAGTCCAAACAAAAGTTTATAAAAAAGATTTTCCAGTTAATAGTTCACAAACCGTATAAGCTTTCAATAATTTATTATCTTGAGTTTTCTGGCATAAAATTCCATAAATAAATAAAAAAGATATTTCAAGGAATATTTTAGTTTATTGTTTTTATTCATAAATAAATATTTATTCATTAATGTAAATAATTTGAAAAGTGGTGACGGACGAAAAGTAATGAAATGGAGGATATATTTAAAAATTGGAACGTTAGCTCGCATAAAATTTAATCTGATATTATAATATTGACATTAATATTAGATTATAGGATTTGATAGTCAAGCGTTTTCTAGAACAGCAGTATTGCATTGCATCTGTCTGATGTTAAATAATATCGTTTGGCTACTTGAGGTGAAATTAAACACTACATATAAATCAACTCAACTAATTGGTAATATATAGGAAAAAATGTTATTATCTAAATTGGAATTAAAATTTATACTCTTTTTTTATAAGGAAAGTTAAAGTAATTTCTTTTGACAAAAAGTTAAAAGGAAATTTTGTCAAACTTCATTATTTCAAGAGTTAAATCTCGAAAAGTTACTGAAAGATTTCAAATATTAATTTTGATGAGAATTAATTCACTTGGATAAATTTGCTAAGCTAAATCTAAAATATTACAAACAAAAGATCATCAATAAATCACAGAAAAGAAGAAGATACTTTTGAAGAAGATTACAAAATGAACGTAGACCGTACCACAAAAAAGAGTTTTCAATGCCAGACCAGTTCGCATACGAAAAAGAGGCAGGCCGAATTTGAGATGGATAGATGACCTACAGAAAGACCTTTTGATCTTAAAAACAAAAAATTGGAAAGCAGTAGCAAGAAAAGCTTAGCCTGGAAAAAACTTCTTGAGAAGGCCAAGGCCCACCTTGGGCTGTCGAGCCATTGATGATGATCTTCAAAAAAATTTAGCAAATTCTTGGGGAAAAGGAAAAATATTGCAATCATTTCACGGAGAAAAGAAATCTTTCACCATATTTGGAAGGAAAGAAACCACAATTCTAATAACTAAACCGAAGTATACGGTATTTAAACTATTCATGTGATAATTTAACCTTTCGCTGGTTTTACTGTTTTCTGGAAATTCCGAAATTTTAGTTCTTATTACAATAGATTTTTAAAAAAATACTGTTCAGTTTTGTGTGCGAGCAGCGACCTATGTGTAATTAAGGAGAACAAGTTAGTTATTAATAACCTTGGTTATTAATAACCTTGAAAGAGGCAAGTGTGTTAATTAAATTTTTAAAAAAATAGTGCGTGGAGTCCCTCTACGCGAAAAAAGTTAAACTTCGTAACCTGCGACGTTAATTGTAGAAGAATCAGCAGTCGTAGAAGGATCACTAGTTCTATTCAACGACTCTTTTTCCTGCTCCGCTCGCTTCCGTGTTCTGTAATAACGGTAATATTATGCATTTTTCCCTCGTGGACCTCTTGAAGCAGCGGAAGTGCTTGTGGTTGCCTCATCGTCTCGCATGGAAAATGTATTTGTATTAATAATGTATGTGAATGCGTCATAATGTAATTTCAGAAGAGAAACAATCAATTGATATTCACAAGAGATGTAGTACCTTGACATAACCTTAAATCCGTCGCATTGTCCATGGGATTGTTTTCACTCATTTTTTACAATTGTTATCCACTAAATTTGAAAATAAAAAATACTACCCTATTAAATTATATGTGTATCAAAACAAACTAAAAAAATATTTATAGAAAAATAATACTTTTATGATTTTATGCTAGTGAGAACCAAAACAATATGGAAATGAATGAGGGAAAACTGGATCCTACCACGTGATTTCCCGGCCAATAAAAAATGTAGCGTTAAACGTTTAACGCAACCTTGTTGGAAGTCGCATAAGAAGTATAACTTCAATAACAGCCCACTGCTTCAATATGTGTTTTGAGAACTGTATTTTCAAGAGCAATTACATGGTCCTTACCCGAGTAGCAGAGGGTAAGCGACCTATGTATGAGTGAATTTTATGAAGAAAAAAAGTGAAAATTAGTGGCAAAAGATTTAGTTTCAATTTTGAATCGGCAACGTACACATATCACTGATAACTAACTGCGTCAAACAGCGATCTGAGGAGGAAGGTAAACGTTAAACGTTATATTTAGGTGTATTAAATTATAAATATGTCTTTAACTACATTACAGAAAGACGAGTTAAAACTCGACGCAGAAGAGTTAAATTTAAATGCATCGTAGGGTGTAAAAATCGCTAATTTGAAAACTTTAATCGAAAACAGTGAAGTTTTTTAAAAACGGATACAGAATTAGTTAAATGCGCATTGGATTATGCAATAGTATGTCTGCCAACTTTTAATCCCTTCCATTATGATTTTTCCCAGTGGTATTAAAATGGAATTAAAATTTTAATTTTTGGCAAAAAAAATACGTTGTATTTGAAAAAGCTTAAGCTGACTAACATGATAGTAGTGGTGATCAAAATCATTTAAAAATTAAGTTTATATAAGAAAAAATAGTATTTATTTACTATCATTTTAAATATAAAATTTTACGCCAAATGCCGAAGTTGTTAAATTTGAATTTGAGCGAATTAAATTAGCGGAATTAGAAAAACAATTAGAGCTAGCTTATGTTCAAAAAAGTTACCGCATAAATCCGCACTTACAAAAGACAGTGCTTTTGAGAATGCAAATAATATTAATATAATGTAAATGCAAATATATTATAAATGTGAAGGCAAAATCCTATCATTTTTCTATTAAACCTTATCATTTTTTCGTCATCAAACGTCATTTATTGAGCTCAAAAGTTCATTGATACCAGTTAATAACTTCAGATACGCCGTTATTTTAATTGTATTCTTTTGTTCTATTAACCTCTCTCAGAAACTGCTATAGACGTAAGAATCAATGCCGGAAAGCAATTCTTGAGTAAGTTTTAACTCATATTCTTAACTTGTTATTTATTAAGAGCTAACAGTTACTTTTCTAATACTTAAATATGACTCTTGTGCCAAAACTTAGCATCTTTCAATCTCATATAAATAGGATGATCAATTTATTCCCATAAATTTTTTGAAAGCCATAAAAATATAGTTCTTTTTTCCAATGTTCTCAAAAATTGACGCATGTTTTCAGTATTATTTGATAAATCTCAATTAAAAAAAATACACTTTAGCACAATGCATTTAGTAACTACCAGTTCTTTTAAAATTATTCTATTAATGACAAGCGCCTGTGTTTATGTCTGCTGTAAGTTTAAACCTTTGTTTCTCAAATCACCGATGAGTCAGATTTTCAGTTTAAAAATATTTTTTACTGTAATAATCTAATTTTAGCCGATTCAGCGCTGCGCCCCCTTTTTGCGCCTGGTACTTGTAAGTTTGATAATTAGATTTTCTTTCTTTTTTTCTTACAAATCTTTAAACTCAATAAACCTAGTCTATATTTTTAAACTTTTTGTCCGACTTCATGAAATTAATAGCGTTTTTTTATAAATTTTTGACGCTGATTCTGTAAAGGACTTCCACATCAGAGTAAAAAATAGTTATTTTAAATATTTTTTAATCAGTGTAATCCACAATCGTTTAATAAATTAAAATTTTAGAGTTATGTACCAATTTTTATGCATTTTTACATTCAATCGAATAGAACTAATTACAAGCTGATAAGGAGCTTTTGTTTTAAAGTTGTGAGCAATTTTATGTGAGGAAAGTTTCTAGGAGTGAACGGTTTGAAATAATACTTTAAAATAAAGTTGAGTAAAATATTTGCTACATAACTTGTAATACCGAGCAGAATAAAAGTAATAGTTAGTTGTTACAAACATTTGTTTAAATATAAAAACATATCCCATAGGATGAAATTCAACAAAAATGCATATAACTTTAAAACGCTAAATGTTTTTATTTGCAATTGATTTTTATTCAATTAAGCACTAAAATTACAAAAGAAACAATACTGACTTACTTCTAAAAAATTTAAGATTTCCGAAATTTGCTAATTTTTGAAGTAGTGAACCATAAACAGATGCATAAAAATGCTCATAAATTGTCATTTAAACTTGAAATCTGATTTTATTTAATCCTGCTTAGTATTCTAATAAGTAATAACAATCCGCTTAGTAAATTAACGCGGGTAAATTGCTAAAACATAACATGTAGTTAAAAATAGCAATTTTGTGATCAAACATGAAAAAGTGAGCTAGTATAGTTACTAGTTTTCAATTATCAAATATCAGGCAAACTATTGTTATCAACAATTGCATAAATCCTGTAGTTAATTGTGATAGATTACTTCTTCTTTTTGGTATAAATACAGAACTATTTCCCACGGGAAGGCTGAGTAGTAGCTTGCTAGTCACTTCTTCGCTGTTTCACGTGTGCTATTTACAGCCTAGGTCATCTCAGCAATATCAGGGAACTACTTGTGGATAAGCTCTGTAAATATATATATATATATATATATATTTTACAAAAAGAAATTGCATGTTAATCAGATTTAAAACGCAGTGTTATTATGCATATTTTCACTCATAAACAACAATATAAACGTTGCATAAAGATATCCAAGAAAACGATCAGCATACAGCTGTAGTAGAATTTCAAAGCAAAATTGTTATTTTAAAATCTTTCAATTTTCAATGATTTATTTATAAGAGAAATTATGAACATTTTATTCAGTTAATCAGCTTGCATACTGCTACATTAAAACATATACATTTAAGCAAAATAAAAAAAAATTAGTTATATTTGAATAAATAGCAAACAATAAAATAAACTATGCGTAAACTGCTTTTACGATTCACCAGTAACGTTAACCTAAACGGCGACGAGAAATACTCTGATTGTTATCTCTTATTGCTAAGCCTACAAGAATAGCCTCTAATAATAAAATTTAAATTTGAAAATTGAAGCATAATATTTGATTAAAAGTGATAAAACTGAATTAATAAATGTCAAACACACATACTGAATTTCACATAGACTTTCGATCGTCAACACACACGCCATTCGCCAGCTCGCACGAAACTCTGGGAAGTGAGCTAGTTAATATAAAGTGTACTTTTAACAACCTCAAAATAAGCTTAGGTATAACTAAAATGACTTCATACACCTCAATAAATAGCTGAATTCTTGGCCAAAGTTGACGCCACTGGAAAACCAGAACAATTGCACCCCTCTGCCTAAACAGGCATACGTCAACAACAATACCTGACTCTCATGAGTTGAAATAAGGAACATTTTTTTATACCTCATAAATACCTTTTTTGTTATAAGTATTAGAAAAAAAATCTATATACCTTTAAAATCACCTCATCAGTTAGGTTGATATGAAGTGAATTTAAAAGAACCTCAAAATAAGCTTAGATATAAATAAAATGACTTCATACACCTCAATAAAGACCCCACTCTTTTTAGTTGAAATAAGGTTAATATTTTTGTACCTCATAAATACTTCATTTGTTTCAATTATCAGAAAAACAACCTTGTATCCTTAGAATACACCTCATCAGCTTGGTTAATATTTGGTTAATAATTTGGTTTGGATAATAATCATATGGTTAATATTTGGTAATATAATTAAGTGAATTTAAAACCACCTCAAAATAAGCTTAGGTATAAATAAAATGACTTAATACAAGTTAATAAATACCTCACACGCTTGAGTTGAAAAAAGGCATATTTTTTATACCTCATAAATACCTTTTATGTTATAAGTATCAGAAAAAAAAACCTATATACCTTTAAAATAACCTCATCAGCCTAGTTGATTTGAAGTGAATTTTAAACAACCTCAAAAGGAGCTGAAGTGTATGCAAAAAAGCCTCGTACACCTCAATTACAAACTTTACGAGGTATAATTTTTATGATTGTTTTCTCAGCAACCTCAAAACAACATCGATGAATCAGCAGTCGTAGAAGG